TCTCACCCTGTGCAACCGTCGGGTATTAGATTGCCTGTCTCTGCTACCCTAAAAGGATCAGTAAAGACATGGCAATTATCACTGAAGGTTTATTAGACATGGAGAAGCAGAAAAATATATATGATTCAAACAATGATTCTCTTGGTTTTATAGACGGTTGAATCCAAAAATTACCACAGGGTTAATGCCAAGGAGCTGGATTTCCTGAGCACTAAGAACATCTTTCTCTTACAGATTGAGATGAGAAAAAGTTAGGCAATTTCTCGAAGGTTCAGAGAACTATTCTTGACAAGGCTTACTTCCTTTGGAACTGACTTTTTTTTGTAATAAAACGTATGAGGTATGTTGTGGTCTGCATGTGAGTTGTAATAAAGGTTTTAACTAAGCTAACAAAATGTGGTCCATTTTTTTTTCCTAGGATAAGAATTTTGGCGGCGGAAAGACAACCAAACCTAATCCTGATAATTTCGTTCTGTGCAATGTGAAAGGGCACGAATGGCAGTCAAAGAACTATGAGACAAACATCTATACACTCGGTATTTCTTATGTGATTGTCATTTCAAACAATATTCATTTTTTTTTTTTCCGACAGAGTCACGTGTTATGTTGAAGAAATCCCATGACAAAAATTGACTTCCAAGTCTCGTAACACAAGAATGAAAAGTCTGCTTGTTATTTAGTGCGTGTGTATGTGTGTGTGTGTGTGTGTGTGTGTGTGTGTGTGTGTGTTGTCGTCATGCAATAGGTGCATGACGACAACAGATGTATTCTAGAAGTAAAGTTTGTGGGATCTTTCCTTTGCACCAATTTTGCCCTAACCAATGGTCGTCTGTTTCCTCACAGTGTCGAGTATCTGCGGCTGACGATCCTCTTATGTCGAGTTAGCAGAAGAGGTAAGACGTCTACGGATATGCTCATGTGTTTTCACTTCTCGTTCCTTCTTTCTCTTTCTCTGGCTCCTCTTTCTATCTCAATACCCGTTTTTATCCAGCCGAAGATGTATCAGTTAATTACTTTTCACTCTCTCTCTCTCTCTCTCTCTTTCTCTGCTCATTCATTCATTCTTTCTTTATCTCATTCCTTCCTTCTCTCCCTCTCTCTCTTTCCTTCCTTACTTCCTTCTCTCTCTCTCTCTCTCTCTCTCTCTCTCTCTCTCTCTCTCTCTCTCTCTCTCTCTCTCTCTCTCTCTCTCTCTCTCTCTCTCTCTCTCTCTCTCTCTCTCTCTCTCCCTCCCTAAATCGTGATTCGAAAGGATAATTAAACTCTTTATATTCTTAAATTCAACTGTAAGTATGGTACAGCGTCTCAAGTTTTATCTATGCATCATATTGTTGCTTTACTGTGTCTTTACATATGAGTATCCATTCATTCTGTGTGATACTGAATTTTCTGCAGTGTCACACAGGGTGATACTTGGGATTGTTTATTAGTTAGAGTAAGTATCGGGAGGAATAGGTTATTATGTTTTACACTTCAGCGCGTCTTCTGCAATTCCTTTAGCTTAACGACAGGTTAGCAGGCAGTTCTTAAAACGATATTGAACTTTGTCCTTTTGTTCAACCTTATGATAAGGTGCCCTGGTAAGTGTCTCATCACTATATTACTGTCAAGTAATGTTAAGATATTCCTATCAGCGATACTGTATATGCTATACTACTTCAAGCTCAGAATTAATGTATGTGTAACCCCGCAGTGGTAAATGCCGGGTTAATTTCATTCACCATACCGACTTGTTTCGTATTCTAGGAGTTTGGGAGATCATCAGGAGTAAATTTGTCGATGTTTTCATCAATGGACTCGATTGCACAGGCGAATCG